AAATCTTTTCTCACTCGACTTAATATTTAAACTTAAAAATTTAAACTTAAAATCTCAAATTCTTAATCATTGAATCATTTTATGAAATTCAAATAAATATTTATTAGTATATGCGATTCAACGCAACTCTAAACTAATCAATTTTGGAGTTGTGGTATGTTCTGACTTCGTACTATTTCACTATTATTCAAATAAATAAATAAATAAATATTTATTAAAATTTTAAAAATCATTAATAAATGCTCAATGAACTTTAAAAAAATTTCAATTTATACCTAATATATTTTTTTAAAAAAGAGAATAGTATCCATTTACTTTGCCTTCCAAAATTTAAGAGAAAAATCATATTAAAACTATATTATTTTAATAAACTCCTATTAAAAATAAAAAAACATCCTTTTACTTGGTGAAACTTTGTTACCTAGTTCGAAATTCATGATTTTTAAAAAGCTAAGTTTTATTCTACACAAAATAATGAAAATAATGTAAAATTGAGTAAAATTATATTAAGTTTATTTAAATATTAATAAAATCAAGACTAAATTAATATCATATTATGCACAATAATTCACCTTATCAAGTACTACAAAAAAAGATTGGTAACTTTTATATTAAAGTTTTATTAAGAATTTTATTAAGTTGTTAATATTGAATTTCTCTAATTAAAAAATTAAAAAAAAAAAGAAAAAAAAGAATCAAAGGTAGGATTATGATGGCACTGCATGTCTTGAAATATAAGTTACTCGAGATGTAACCCTTCTAGAGCCTGTTTGGATGGGGAATTCTCCCCTAAGTTTTCTCTTTACAAAAAGAGCAATGCTACGGGCAGTCTCTGATCTGCACTTTCTTGAGCACTTGCTGTTCTATTATTGACATGTGGCAATATGATTGACGTTTCAATCAGCAACCGGTTTCAAACTGGTTACTTCTACTCTTACTTCTATTTTTACTTTATTTTCATATAAATTTCTCTTTACAAAAAGAGCAATGCTACGGGCAGTTTCTCATCTGCACTTTCTTGAGCACTTGCTGTTCTATTATTGACATGTGGCAATATGATTGACGTTTCAATCAGCAACCGGTTTCAAACTGGTTA